CTTGAAAACTACTTACTCCATCTTTGATTTATTAAATCACCAACATAAAAGACAAGAAAAAAAAAAAAGAGTGATTTCTTTAGAATGGAATTTGATATGGGGAAGAAAGGAATGGAATGTCCCCTTAGAGTATTATTCATTAGATGAAAGACATTTGTTTGTGAGAAGAGCACTAGAAATGGTCTAAAAAAATAAAGTGGCACAGAAACAAATGCCGCCAGACAGTACGCTGGTCGGAAAGCTGTTTTCTATTGAACCTGAGTTTTTATAGATAACTCGAGAATGAGTAACAGAATACAGTGTGTATACTATTATCTGCCTCAAAAACAAAGTGCCATGTTATGCCTGAATCCAGCCGAACATGCGTGACAAGGAGGGTTAGATATTTCTCTGTAGATATTTGCTTTAGCTCTGTCAAATTGCATAGCTTACCAAGGAATTCCTCTGCCATATAATTCTTCAAATTATATAGTGTCTCCAGCCTTATACCTGGCATATTCCCATTTTCCAGTAGTCCTCAGGAGCCCAAGCTAGAGGATCTAGGTAGGGTCTTCAGTTCTTTCTCCTCTTTGCATTAAGGCAAAAGCTTTGAGCCCCTTAACTGACAAAGGGGGTTTGCATTATTACTGAGGCCATATGAGGAAGGTTTAAATATTGAAAGCAATGTATTGTTCAAGTCATAGATGCTGAAAAGAGCTCCGAATTCAAAATTTCACTTATCAAAAGACAACGGAGAAAAATGTTTCTAGTGGCCGTTAGAGAACTTACCAGAAATACTGTTAACAGCTAATGCTGTTTTTCTAAAGACACAGTTTTGAGGAACCTTAACATTACAGATAAAACATCAAGAGGTAAACAAAAGGTAATTCACAGCTAGATCATGACTTTTTTCTTTAGAAAAATATAACTTAAAAAAGTCAAGCTAGGGCAAAGAACACACAGACAGATATCTCTGTTCCTCTTATTGGTCAAAAAATGTGAAGCTGAATAAATGTACCTTTCCACTTGGGAAATCTAGTAGAGATGATATCCCTTAAGTTGATGCTTTATTTTGCTTCCAGCAAAGGTGGTTTAATGATACAGCCGTGAGGATGTTTAGCCTTGACAGGAAAATGAATTGTAGACAGGCTGCCTTTATACTGTGGATTGCAAAGCTGTGAACAGTGCTGGAAATAAGATAATGCTTCACAAAAGAGTTTTGAGAGAGCGATGGTTACCTGGGTAAGCAGCTATCCCGAAGCAGCATTTCTAGATTGATCAACAACATTTGTGTAGCTACTTCTAGTGGGAGCAGCGTTGTACAGTCTGGCCTTGAGATCACAATTAAAGCCTCTGAGGGCCTGCTGGGCTTTAAGCACCTGAGAAGTCCCACTTTGGGCAAAGCCAAGTTCGTATAGAATCCCTGTGAATACTAATTCTATAGGTCAGTTCTTAATGTAGTCTCTGAATCTCTCATTTCCTCTGCGTAATTTTGTCAGAAAATATTAAAGCTAAAACATTTTGGACTGTAGTGTTTAGGTATTAGAGTATATTAAGTATGTGGCAGTTTCACTTCACTTGAATGTATGTGCTTACTTAATCATTTCACATTTGTTTTTCTAAAATAATTTTTAACTAACTTAAATTAAGCTGTATCACTACATAGTTTATAGGTTAGATAACTCTGTAATAAAACTAGGCTCTTTATATGTAAGAAAATTCAATCAAACAGGCTTCAATTCAGTCGAGAGGAATGAATTGGAATCCCTTTTAAAAGGGGCACTGAAACAGAGATCTGCAAGTTGAAGTTGAACAGTTCTAATACTTCAGTCATGAATTTAGAAAACACCTGGTTTTGCACTGAATCAGCCTGTTGGCCTTGGGCTCTCAGGCCCTTCTTTGTAGAATGTCACTGAGGGCAGCTGTCTCAAAGGCAAACTGAGTTTCCCCTTCTCCTTGTAGTGACACTCCTGATTATCCCAGGAAAGCCGTGCTGATGTAGGGGTGAGAGTAGATGCATCCCCTCTTAGATGCAGTGCTCAAAATCCCAAACCTCATACTACTTTATAATTTGTCCTGGTATCCATTTCTCTACCTACTGTAACCATCAAAATATCCTTCTTGGGGCAATTTTCTGACCCAAGAAGTGATAAATAAAATCAGAGGGATGCATACTTGGTGAACTGGTGGGAAATTTTTGTTAGCTCTCCTGTTCTTCTTCTTCCCTTTCTGCTTTATGTAACGTTAACTTGACAACAGTGGTTATCACAGCAGACATCTTGCAGCTGAGAAGGAAAGCGGTCACCAGGGAGACTGCTTTGCTGCTTCTCTCTCATCAGCTGCAGCGGTACTGAAGCGCTGCAAAGGGTTTGTGGGACTTTTTTCCTTTCCTTTTTTTTTTTTTTCCACATGGAATAATACATCTCTTTTGCCTTAACCCTAATTAAATGCATCCTCCCAGAACAAAATAACGTTAGGTTAGAATGTATTTTGGCTCATGTGCCCTCTCTTGTTACACTGTTCTATTTTGATGAAGGGTGCTTTGGACTGTATCCTGCTTCTTTTATGTTGATAATTATTCTTACACTGTTGATAATCAATTTGTCACTATTACTTTCTACTTACGTTGAAAAAAAAAACCACAAATATTTGATTAGCAAAATGCCTTGTGCTTTCTGCAGAAGTTTATTCTTGAATACTATGTTTTTTTGTCTAGAAGGTGATATATGAAGATAACTTGATCCAAGATATATTATTTGTGAAGCTTCATCAGAAAATGTAGTATTTCACAGAGGAAGCAATAAATATGTAGGAAACTTAGAAATGCAACATCAGGCTAAATCCTGTAGCTTTCAAAGTACATTTCTATTTGAGCTCCTTTTTTCCCATTTGCTCCAGGTGAAAGCTTAGGATTCTTTCAAAGCAAGCTCTAGGACAGGTAAGAAATCTGACCCTGGAGGGTGTAAAAAGAGAGCACTAGGAAGTGGATCAATCTATGTATGATTCAGTGGGGAAAGGAGCTGGAAGGGAGTGATGAAGATGTCAAGGGAAAACCATGAGTCTCCGGCCTGCTATGGGAAATATCAAGAAGTGCAAGCATAAAATTGCCAGTGTAGACAAAGACTAGAGGGAACACTAACAAAAGACTCATGGAGAAGGAATGAGAAAAAGACAAAATTACTGATGTAGCTGGAGCTTTGAAGCATTAAAGAATGCGTTGGATATATTATCTGATGCGTCTTAAGGAGGCAGATAAAGCAGCAGAGAATAAATACAGTGCTTCACATATGGATGACATGTTCAGTGGTTTTAAAAAGCATAGTAGTTCATGGTTAAGAAAAGAACACAGAGAATCAATTATCTCTGTATCATTTTTCATTTACAAGAAAAAATGAGATAGTAAAAATAGTATAACTGTCCCTGGTGAATGAAATGGGAGATGTGTAACAGACTTCTAAAAGCATAAGCAGAGATTAGACCTGGGTTTCATTCATAATTCAGCAAATTTGTTGTCCTTTGTTTTGGACTTGCATATGGCGACGTGCAGGAATGAGAGAAGACTGGTAAGGCGGAACCAATTAAAGGATGTAGTTCTATTTCCATTTAAATGGAAAATATCCATTTTGAATAAAATATCTATCTCTTAGGAGAGGGAGGAAAATCTATTGATCGTGTCTAGCACATTTAAAATGTAAATCATGTCTTTCTTCCTTTCTTCATAGCTGCCAGATCTTGAAAATTGTTAAGCAGCAACTACCATGTATTTAAAGGGAAATGGCTGTGGGTTATTGTCTCAAATAAGCTCTTTTTTTAAGCATATTTTGAGGAGCAGATTGTATAGATCTGTGCTAAACTAAAAATGGGAAGAAGACTGAAATGAGCGAGTGGTGCAAGGTAAAGGTGATGTAAGAAAAAAAAAAAATCAAATTTGCTTTTCAGACAGCTCTGGCATGCTTCTGTGTGTACCAATTCTCCAGTTACCTTTCTGAATTCTGGCATTTTGGTCTGTCAGTAGGCATATTTGGTGCATTACAGCCTTAGTTACCTCTCAGATAGTTTATTACTCGTTCACTGTGCCCTGAAGGTAATGACTCTGTAGCTCTGATGGACTCTGTTCCTTTTTAAAAGCTGGAGTCTTGCCCTTCCAGGTTTTTAAGAAGTAATGACAACACTGGAGATGAAGGTATGAAGACAGGGGAAAAGAAATTGAGTGGTTTAAGAAAGGATTTTTAAAGAAAATTTGAGTGTACTTAGGACATGCCTTGGTACAAAGAAGCTTTAAAAGACCATATGCTGCGTGCAGTCCAGCACATTTTCCAAATAAAAGTTTTAAATCTAAAGCAGGCTCCCAGATGGTTCTAATGAGCTGGCCTTGGAGATATATTGTGACTTGAAAAAGAGGAGTTTAACTCCTAAGACACTAACATTTCCAGATGACTTTCAAGCTAAAGCACAGGAAGAACAATATTTGTACATATGCTAATTTTATATATGTTTCTAGCCTGTAAAAAGGGTGAGGCTGAGGGGGTTTTGTTTACTTTTAGGACCTTGCACTTTATGTACATTATGATCCAGAATACAAGGGGAGCATTTTTGCACATTGACTGATGCTGTTTTCTCCGGCTCTTTTAAAGCTCGACCAACAGTTAGTGTGGAACCAATAGTAAGAAAAATGGTAAAGACTTGCCATGAAAACTGAATATTTTAAGAACTATAGCATAGTACCCTACTAAAAGTATTCCTGATTTTCCTTATGGAGGGGACTTTCCATCTGCTGGACTCTGTAATTCTACCAGCCTGTCAGCTTCTGCAGAACAATCATTAGTAGAAAAGGTCTCGTCTAATGGTTTATAGCTTTGTAGTACAACAATTAAAAAAAAAAAAAACTTCAATGTTTGTATTAGATATTACAAAAATGTTAAGAATTCCTGTATAATCTTTTTATGGCCTAATTTGAAAACTGTATTGTTCTTGTGGCTCCCTACCTTTGAGAGTCATTTTGTTTCTCTGTTTCACCTCAGGTCTACCTTATGGATGGGAAGAAGCCTATACAGCTGATGGAATCAAGTACTTCATCAAGTGAGTATTTCTGGGGGAAAACATGTTGGAGGTAAAATTAAAACAGGTAAAAGCAGTTTTAAACCTAGAATCAACGGCAAACTTAGTGAAATTACAAAGCTAAGATATTTTTTATGCACAGCTTTATTACTGCCGTCACTTATCACTTAAAATCATGTGGGGAACCTCTTCAGCAGCAAATTCATTCGTGTCCTAAACTATCCATGGTTGTATCAGACATAACAGCATTGTTTTCTTGAAATCACATCTTGCTTCCGTGTCTAGAAATAGGTCATTTTGTTGTTGCAAGAGGATGAAAGGAAAGGATTGAAAACATTTAATTATGTTTCCTAAATGATCAAGACAGGTCCAGCGGCCATACCATTCATTTAAACAAAAGTTATTTTACTGTAGGTTTAGCATTTAAGATGTTAATCATAGCTTTGTTAACTTGAGTTTCACAGAATATTAATATTTTACTTTATCATTTCCTGCAAGAACTTTCTGTAGATAATGCCATTGAAGCCGTACCTGGTGCAAAGTTCTGTTTCACATTCTACTAAGTGCTTGTCAAGACATACAGATTAGGCCTGTTAAAAGCCTCAGTCATATGTATGCAAATCCAGAAGTTCAAGCCATTAAACAAGGCTGTCTTCACTCCAATATTGGAACTATTGGACTGTCCTGGAAAAAAAAAAAGTAGAAAAATATGTCTCTATCAGGAATTAACTGTAATTGTATGGAAGATCTTTCAAACAAATACATTTTACAGATCTCTCCAGTGGCTAGAGGAAAGGTGACATTGAAGAGATATTACAGTAATGCAGTGTCTAAAGCACAAAGAAAACCGCTACAAAAGCTTTAAAAACTAGTAACCATCTGAAGAGAGATTAAAAAAAAAAAAAGGCACGAAGACTTGGAACTTCTTGTTATTTGCTTTTTGGCTTTTCTTAATTAAAAGATGTTAATGAAAACAAGTTCATTAGATAGAACAAATGAAGAAAATATGAAATTATTTTTAACTGACTACAAAATATGTAATACGATTTAAATTCTGTTAATGTCCAGCTGACAGGGAATTGCAAGCTTCTGTACAAAGACCTACTTCATAAAAGCTGTGGGATTTTTTTCTGTTCTGTAGGAAAGGAAAGAATATTTCTAATTATGTTTTCCAATTCAGGAGTAAAAATACATGAAAAAGCAGCAGCTCATGTTACATTTCCCAGAAGCTCCATGTAGTAAATTAGACAGATTGTTTCTTTTTTTTCTAGAAGGTAGTTAAAAGTGTAAGTGTAATACATGTAAGTGCAGTAGCTTTTTATTATTCCTGTTAAAGATGGAAACAATTAGCTAAAATTATCATTCATCTCCATTCTGTATGGAGATGAATCTATATAGATTATATAGATATAATGAGCCATTATTTAATAACTAGCTTTTCTAACTGCACTTGACATATTGTTTAACTCCTATAGATGGCATGTAAAAAAATAGTATTTTGGAGGTGGACTTCTATAAACCCTCCTAAAATACAGGAGGGACAGAGACTAGATCTTTAATCCCAGACTTTTACCAAAGTCACGTAAATAGCATTGAAGTTTGTGCATTAGGCAGCCAAGAAAAGCAGGGACTTTTTTTTTTTTTTTCCCCCTCCAAACTGGCTGCTCCGTTGTCCTTAACTAACCCCGTGGTGCCTCGAGCTAGATATATTAAAGCAGACATGTTTTTTTTTCCTTTTTTTTTTTCCGCAGAAGTTTTCAAACACCATGTATGATAGTACATTCCTGCTCTAATCAAAGGGTGGCTTCTATTTTCAGGCAGATGTAGGTTAGTACATGGGGTTATACCAGAAATATTGCAGAAAAATAACTTAGGAAATTAAAAAGTCTTGCTGTCCTCCAAAAAGTCAATTGTTTAGCAGTTTAAATAAATACAAAAGAAGCTTTTAAAATAGAGCACTGTTCCCTTGGTCCTTAAAAGGAGTCTAGATTTGCTGAGTATACTTGAGAAATTTCTTTTAGGAGCTGCATTTGGAGGCTGAATTATTGCAAATGTTCACATTGCAAAGCTTGAATCTCAGCTTATCTAAGTGGTGGCAGAAAGCATCCGATGTTTATATTATCCCCCCCTTGCTGAAACTACAGGCTTTGGCTGGCAGGATGTTTTTTAGGAGTTGTGGCATGTCTGATCTTCGACTGTTAATGACTCTTGAATGTCTTTCCCAGCACATTTCTTAATGTGCTCCTAGCATTACCAATGCTCCCGCTCCAGGATTGCTGTCATCACCTTCTGCAATCAGTCCCCCAAAGTCCTGTGTGTCGGTCTTCCCATGGCAAACGAGGAAAATCTTTCTGTTATAATTGCCAAGAAGGGGACAAGAGCTGTGCTAGCAATTCTTATTTCTGCTCATTAGAATGAACCTAACTGAGCGTTCAGTAAGAGATCAGAGTAATTAACATTCCTTTCACCTATTTCCTTATTTTGCTTGCAGCGCTGTTTCCAAAAGTCTGCACAGACTGTAAGGCTTCTTGTGTGATTAAGAATTCATACTTTTTGCTACTCTTTGTAATGTTTGAAGTTATCTTCAAAAAGTTAGTTAGAGCAAGGAGCAAATGTAATGGAAGTCCCTTGTTACTAACGCAGAAGAGATTTCAGCATGAAAATCTGCCTTGTGTTGAAAATATTCTAGGAGGAACTTAGCTTGAGGTGCATTTTATCAGGCAGTGATCTTCAATAAGACCTAATCCAATTGTTTAAATGGGGATTAGCAGAATAGTTGATACTTTTCAGCTCCATCACTAATACTCTAACCTTCTTGTATTCTTTGGCTGTGAATTTTGGTCCTTTCATTCTTTGTTATTTATAACAGGCAAAGCCATGAAGGATTTGAGACTATTTCAGCACTAGCCATCTCCAATGTATATAACAAACAAACAAAAAAATTATAATTCACGGAATGTCGTCACAATTAAACTCATATATGAATTACCGCTTTTAGTATGTAGTTATGCTGTGGGGAAATATAGAAGCTGCGCTGGCACTGTTTAAATCCACAGCAGTTTTAGGATATGCTACCAAAAGTCAAATATTCTTTTAATTAATAGGTGCCATTTAATTAATAAGTAGAAGTAATTCATGTGCAGAGTGTTTTATTGGTCCTTCAAGTAGCTGAGTCCATGAATCTGTGTTATAAGTCTAATGCAATAAACACCCCGGAATGGCATCTTAATAGCACATAAGCTTGAGACAGCTTGCTGTGAAATTTCCATAAATATCTCTGAAGGGGGTGTAGCAATATGAAGTGCATGAGAAATCAGAGTTTAAAAGAAGCAAACCAGCTGGCTTGTGTTACACACTAAAGTGAAACCCACTTATGTGAATAACTGACATGAATAAAACATTTACATGGCTTTAGACCTTAGGGAGTGAAAGCTTCTGTAGAGCTATCAGAACAAGTTGCATCTTGCACATGCATACTCAGTTTAAGACAATTTTTGAAGTCATCTCTTCTGTTCGGGAGGTCATTTCAGTCTCCCGTTAACTTATCAACAACCTACTTGATAAGTATTGGCAAGGGTCAGAAAATTAGTTTTTACACTCTAGTAGTTTGTCACAAACTCAGATGATTCAGTGCTAGCCCTTCACGTCAGGTATATGGATCTTCTGTGTAGTATCGAATAGCCATGTGTGTCTCTGAATTATGTCTCAGCATGTACTGGAGAAAATTAAACTGAAGTATCTAAAAAATATGTATTAACGGTTATCAGAAAGGCAAAACTTACCCTGTAGATTAAAAAGTAGGTGTCAGCTTTGTTACTACTAGAGCTGAGGTTTCCTTCTGCTGCAGTACGAAGAATATAGAGCAACTTTGGCCCCAGATGCCCTTAGAACTAATCTGGTGTACTGTAAAGAAACAAAGAGGGCAAATCCGAGTGTATTTTGCATGTACCAATACAGCTGGTCAGTCATACTCAACACCAGACTCATGCCCCCATAGGTTAATACCTAACTGAAACACATTACCGATGCCTGTTTTCTTCCTAATGTATACTTTTATATATTTTTATCACCATTCACATCAAATTTGGCTCAAAAGAGTTGAGTTTACCGACTCTTCAATCAAAATGACAATTGAACGTTTTCAGTAATCAACAGGATTTCCAAAATCATAGAATAGAATGTGAGAAATGTGTAGGTTGGGAGGGATCCCGGGAGATCACCTTGTCCAGCCTTCTGTTGAAGGGTAAGTTATCCCGAGCCCCATTAAACCTTGGATGTCTGCAGTAAGGGAGACTGCACCACTTGTCTGGGCAGCTATTCCTGTGCTTAATTGTTCTAATGGTGAAGATTTTCCCCTGAACTCGCTCCTATTGCCTCTTCTGTGTTTGTGAAGATCTCCAAATTTTGCCCCTGTAGATACTGTTTCCTTAGCTTTTTAACAGGACCAGGTTTCAACTAATACCGTTGCTGTGGAGTACTTGGAACCTGTTAATGCTCCGTGTTTTTTATAACTACTGTTGGAAGAATGACTAGATCCCCCTGAGCTTTCTCTCCTCTAAGCTGAACAACCCCATTTCCTTCAACCTTTCTTCATGTGTGGAGTTCTCCAACCCTCCAAGCATCTTGATATTTCCACTGGATCCCCTTCATTTTTTCCAATATCTATCTTGAACTCGGAGGGGCCAGTGTATTGAAGAGGTCTCACATGATCAGGTAAAAAAAAAAAAAATGTGGATTATTAATGAGTTTTATTTTTTAGGTGATTAAGGCTGTTCTGTCTGAGAAATCCAGTTACTGATGTTCTGATAGAAATTCCTGTCAGCCAAAGATATTTTATCTGTAAAACTCAGATACACAAAGGTCTTGTACAGGCTCATAAATCATCACCTACATTCAGGTATCTGAAATGAACAGGGAATTGAGAGGCATTAATTAATTTTTTTTTGTAAGTAAGAGAAAATTCATCCTGTTCTCTTTTGATGCTGGCCATGTGGCTGTTTTTGTCTTGGTTTAGCCCATGTGTAATGTTCAGAGAGTTTAATAAGTCATGATGTTACAGTAGGGCAAATGCAAGGATATTGAATGGTTTTTGTGAATTGGCATCTCCTGAATATGAATTTTACAGCAGTAAAGCTGTGTATAGCTTTGTTTTCCCAATGATGTATGATATTTGCTAATTGGTTAATGGATATATACCCTGTTTTGGTTAGAATCACCCAAGAACGGGATAAAAAAGCATGGCTGGAACATCAAATTATTTCCCAGAGAAACCCATTATAGTTAATTTCTTCCATCCTCCCACTTTGTTCACCTTTAACATATGGTTGCTCTGTATCATGAGACTGGCACCTAAAATTAGGTAGGGCCTTGCTATTCTCCCTCCCACTGCCACCCACTGCTTGCATATGTGTACAGTTTGTAAGGACCAGCTGTGAATTTTGCCCCTGTAAACACTGTTTCCTTAGCTTTTCAATAGGACCTGGTTCTGACTGTTCCTCAGGAACTATATTTTTCTTCAAGCAATGAGGGAATGTTTATTTTAAATTAAGTTTTCTTAAAAATGAACTAGAAGTTCCCAAATACTTTTATGTTTTTGCTTCTTCTCCCTTAGATATATTAGGACCTGAGCAGTTTTCTATCTTATACCAAAGGGGCAGGGGTAGTATTTGATTTATGCTTTTTTTTCCTCCCAAAACATATGTAGAAATCAGAAGTTTTCCGTGTTTGCTTTAATGTGTCAGAGCAAGCAGTGAAACACTCTGAAAATATGCTGGTATAACAGCCTAGAATTTGATTCATGTTAAGTAACAATCTAAACTGAAACAATACATGTAAAAGATTAATAAAAACACATTTGATGTCTTTTAATAGCTTTTGAAATCATACTGAACAAATCAGACTTCCACTTTGAAAACCAAGACGTCATGTTTATTCATTTTTATAATATTCTGCTTTGCTTGGGGAGGCGCCATCATTAATTTTAGTGGAAGTTGGTCACTCGCAGAGACTGTTTATTATTTTATGACTGAACTAAGAATACCAAAGCATGTGTGATAGATGAAGAACTTCTGTAGTATAAACATTCATGTTTTACACAGCCAGGACTAAAGGTATCATCATAAATGGAAAATAAATCGCAGTTGCTTTTACTTCCTTGGTGCTCAATTGAAAGCACAAAGCTCTTCTGCTCTTCTCCTCGTTCCCTGCATAGCAGTAGGCAATGCAGGTGCACCAGAGTTATCAATTAGCAAAATCAGCCTTGTAGGTGTCCCCATCTTAATAACTTTTGATTTGTGAGGAGAAGAGGTATTTTTAGGCATGGCATATTCTGTTTCCGTTAAATTTCCAGAAAGAGGCAAGTACTTTACCTCTCTGAAAATTGGACCCTTCTTATTTTACATTTGTCACTCAAAAACAGAGGCTGCTTTTGAGAATGTTTCTTTTTACCTGTCATCCTCAAATCCTCCTATATCTGGAAATAGAGGTAATAATAGTTATAGAGACACAAATATTTAAATCAGACTGATTCAGCCGTAACCAAGTGCTAACTATTATTATTTCTTTATATAAAGTTTTTAATGCATAGCGTTCCAAAATGTTCCATGCAGACTTGAACTCAGCGTCAATCCAGGAGCTTTCAGAGGTAACCATATGAATTTGGGAAATCCTGATATTTTTCATTTTGTTTTTTTTATTTGGATAACCATCTTGAGACATGTCAGAGAACTTTTATTTTTCATAAGGTATTTAATATCTGCCATCTGAATGACATGACCCTTGGCTATGTCTCAAGGTGGTTATGAAGAATAAATGTATTCAGAAACAATATTTCTCTTCAAAAATTGCATCCTCTGGCTGTTCTTTTTTCCCTAATAATGTGTCCTAAGACACATTTCCCTAATAATGTGTCCTAAGACACATTATTAAGAGGCAAAGCAAAGTTTAGTGTAAGGCATATTTTGTTAATTGCAAATTCATGAAGACTTAGAGATAGCCAGGATGCAATGGAAAATCAAAATAATTCAGTGCATGTAGAAATGGTTTAATTGCAAATATTGTGATTGTTGGGAACTCATTCACTGTGATGTTTCAGTGAAGCCGTTTTGCAGGGCTATGAAGGAGAAACCTCAGAGGTAATGCTAGGAAGGTTGGCATTGAATTTCACGATAACATGAGTTTGTAATACAAGAATGTTAAGACCTGTAAGCTGATTTTGGTTAGTTTTTGGAGGTTTGATTTGTTTTTTACTGAGAGTTTGGTTGTTTTTTTATACTTGTACCTTTTATACTCTACACCTTTCATTCCTCTGGTGTCTGCCTGGGGTTTGAAAGAGCTGCTGGAAGCAGGAACACAGTGCACAGCAAGGTGTTCTCTGTACGTGTTTCATCTGAATGTTGATGATTTCAGATGAGCAGAATTCTGCTTTCACTGGGCTCATCTTCAATGCCACTCAGTTTAGTAGAGAAGCACAGGGTTCATATGAGGCCAGAATTTGGCTTTCCGAGTTCGGATACAACTAAATCCTATTTGGCAGAACTCATTCGGTGGCCCCTAATGAATCCATTCATTATGAGAGTTTGGCTAATTAATGGTTTAAGGCTGCATCGTGTTGCCTGAACAGTTCCCAAACAAATGGGTCTTGCACAAGAGTGTTCCTTCCAAAGCTCAGAAACCCTGATGGGCTGGAAGAAAAAGGCAAGACTCACGGACATGGCCCCTGTCACAACACAATAACTCCAAAGAACGAGACCTGCTCGCTCTGTAGCTTAGCATCCTGCTGTCTGCCAGGCTTTTCTTCACCCTTGTTAGGCTCCAGAGGCTGGCCCTGATGGAGAATACAATTTAAGGCGAAAAATATGCCTTGCTAAAGCTCAAAATCTAACAAATGAGCAGACAATCTTTTCCATTAATTTGTGTTACCTTTGAACTATTCATTTCTTAAAAGAAAGTCCTGAATTCTCATTTTTAAAAGAAACCATTTTGCACACAAAGTAAGAGCCATTTGGAAAGTAATTATGATGGCATTTAAAATAATTTACTACCATATATTTGCCAAAAGAACCTTGTGTTTTCACATTTTGCTTTTACAAGCCCTAAAATTTGTCCTGCAATTTACTAATATTAAAAAAGACAGAATAAACCACTGCCATATTTTCTGATCAGATATTTCTGTTTCCCAACAATGAATTGGGCTGCCCTCCAATAAGCAGTAATTTATTTGAAAACCTAAAAAACTTTAAGTATTGTTAATTGCTCTGAAAATGTGGTGGAATGGATCTTTTGAACAGGAACATTTGCCAATGGAAAATGTTTTACACTTAGAATTTGTAATTTTAGCCTTCCAGATCTTCCTGCAATATTCCAAGTAGTTTCCTCTTCAATTAAGCAAAGCCCAGAGGTAGATTTCCATTCGCTCTCACTTTTATTGCTGGCTCTAACATACAAATCAGAGAGGATGTATTTCTAATACAAGAATGTTCTGCAAACCAGTAATCTGGGATTATCTCTTCGGACTGATTATGTCAAAGCTCTTTAGCCACAGCACCAGCACTTGTGGCAAACTAAAAATAAACAGGATGGGGGTAGTGGCTATACATTTATTTTGTACCTAAATAATCTGTGTGTCTTTCTAGAGTGTGAGACAGTATCTGGACTTAATGTTTCTAAGAGTTCTCTTCTTAGCAAGGATTTTCGCTAAGAGTTTAAAACAAGACATCCCACTAGTAGTACTCAAGAGATAAAGTCTAGTGCAGGTCTGAAACACCTCAGTTCACATCAGAGGCATCTGTAACAAACGGACATTTGAGCAAAATGTGGCCACATGTAGATAGAAAATGGATAAAAACAAATTCTCTTTTCCTGATTAGTGAGTGAACAATGTTACTCTATAGAATAAAGCAAATTTACCCCTGGTTTAAGTGCCACACTAAGTGCTGCACTGTTAAAGATTATAAGCATTTTTGCATTTATTCATAAAAGAACAAAATCAGATTCTTACAGCAGTTAGCAGAAAGTAACTATCTTTTGCCCCTTGGTCCTAAAGTATGTAGGAGGAACATCCTCTGAAGAATAAACACTTGATGAAGAATTTTTAATTCATTACATCAAAGAACCATGGATGCTTTTCCACATAGCTCTTGTATTTCATTGCATTTTCTCTCATTTTTCAAGGCTGATACTGTGTACTCATGAGAAAATGGAGACGAAGTATCTAGCAGGACAGGGACACCTACAAACCTTGAATGGGGAAAAATAAAATTAAAAAAATCTTAGTTAGGAATTTCTGGGAAATGGTTTGATAAAGGTTGGCAGTATAAACACTTAAAATAGTGCTACAGGCAGTAAATCTTGTATTGACAGAAAAACAGACTGGATGGAGTCTAATTCATTCAGCTTCCATGGTTCTGCAACTGCTTGAACCACAGTCATGTTGCTTGAGAAGTGCTGCCCATACCTGTAAGTCAGTGTAGTGGAACATTGACTCCAAAGTCAGTTCTTTAAAATATCACTATCCATAGTTAAATGTTTTAGGAGAGGATTCTGCAATGCAGAAAGGCAAATTCTGTTTGCACTTGAAAAGGTAAATCCAGAGTTCTAATATGGCACTTCATATTTTATTAAATTGGTGAAAATAGGCATGAACCTTCTTGTGTTCTTGTTTCTTTTCAGTCACGTAACACAGACAACATCTTGGATCCATCCAGTAACAAGTGCACTGAGCTTGTTTGGCCCCGAGGATGACGACGATGGAATAAGAGAGCCGCCTGGGTCCAAGAGCTGAGGACATCGGTTGACAGAAAGTTTGTGTGATTGCAGCATGGTAGTGAGAAGACCTACAGCTTTTAATCTGATACAATTTCTAGTCTAACATAGTAGTACCTGATGATACTCCTCTCCTTGAAGTCAGCGCTTGTTCTGTTCTTTTAGGTAGGTTTTTATCCGTGGGTGAAATTCATCCTGCAAAAGATGCAGGTGCTGTGGAAGACTCCCCTTCAGTCTTTCTTTGCCCCAGTTCAGAGTGCAGGCATCAGACTTATATTAGGACCTGATCCTGTCTTTTCATGACTTTCTTATTGGCATTAACTCCACTGACTTCCACTGAGAGCTTCACAACTTTGCCCAGGAGAATAAGACTGGGCCCTTGGTTGTGGCTCACGTGGCAATTGCCAGTTATGTTTGACCTAAACATACAAGATGAGCATTTTCTTTTTCCTTTTTAACCACTGATAGTGGGTGTAACATAGATGCCTTTTCTATAACTACTGAATTACTATCTCATTTTTATAAAAGAAATTTTGAATTTATTTTACTAACTTGCAGATTATTACAAGTATTTGAGCCCAGATGACTCTTTTAACAAGTACTTTATTAAGACTGGTTGTTTGGCTTTAGGATAATGAGTTTTTGTAAGGTGTCAAGTAAAAAGAAATAGTTTTGGTAGAGGACCCCATACTCTGTCAACAATATGAGGCAAGAATGAAAATGTACTTTTGTACTCTGCTAAACTGATATACACATGCATCAAATATTTCAGGGGAAGCTGTGAAGTTTCAAGTACAATGAAACCTGTGAAGCCACCTCCAGGATCAGCAGAAAACAGTCACCTCCTCAAAGTTGGTCTTTAAGTAGAACAAAATCTTGTTGTAAACATGAGTGATGATTTAAAGAGGATAAAGAAAACAACGGGGGTGCTACTGCAACCTAATGAACAACTTTCACTGCTCCCATTTAATGAACAGGTTTCACTGTACCCCACTAGCACAGGATATTTTAAATCTCATTATTCAAAGCACAACATCTGATGCCTGCTCTGCCCAATACAATTCTGTGCTGAAGAGTGGAGACTACGTGTGTATGTGTGGGTATGTGTATACATATACGTGTGTATATATATGTGTATGTGTTATGGTAGATTTTGACTAATGAGTGAAAGAAGGACCTGCAATTTCACTGAAGCATTAGTGAATATGCCAAAGGAAAACTATTTTTGACCTTAAGCCCAAGGAAGGATGCAGTATTGTAAGTATATGAGGAAGGCATGGGCTGAACTCGCCTGGAAAGATTCAGACACCGTTCCCCACACCAGCTCATCTCTTGGATGATACAAAAGAAGGAGGCTGCACTGTCACTTTTTTAGGAGTCTGTCTCTGGCAGATAGGGTTTAAAAATCAATGTACTCGGATGTAGGCGCATAGCTCTACTGCTCCTTCTACAACCTTTGCGTTACAGAGCTGTGCCAAGTCAGCTACACTGTAGCTGTTGGCCGTATTGAATCAAAAATAATTTACACTTTAGCCTCTTCTTTGAAAAGCAGTGCAGCAGTTTATTGCATATGGCCTGTGAGCTGTATCAAAATGGTCTTGTGGAGGAAGAGGTACAGGCGTGATCTGAAGTACAGCCCAGAAAAAGAGCTTTTTGCAGACTTTGCTGGAAGTAGGTGTCAGGATATACTCAATAAGCAAATAAGAAAATTTGTTTTATATTTTTAACTAGGTCAGGACCATTTTTTCCATGAATCTGCACAGGTGGTGTGGATTAGGAAGAAGAGCTTGCTCAGCAGATCCACGGTAACTTACATTTCTGAGAAAACTCATACGCAGCAGTAGCCCTTAAGGTCTCAGTGCTTCAGCCCTGCCTTGCCCCAGTGGCTCTCACATACTTCCTTCTTCCTTTCTGTTCCCCCAGAACACAGGCTGAAGGTGCAAAGCACATGCTTCAGGTACAGGGTTACACACTCTAGATAGACCATTATTTAAACCTCTTTCTGAAAGTGGTTCAGACTCATAATACATAGCAGATAAAATAAGATTCTGAATTTCAGTATTTACTGTAGCCCTAGCAGTAGTTCGGATGCTTTTTCAGTTCCTACTTCTGATAGGCAGATCGCACGTAGACTCCGGTTTTCCAGTTCTGTGCAAGAGAAGCTGAATCTCCACCTGACCTCACAGGCTTGACTTATTCTGCTAGTGGCTTTGTGACAGCTAGCTGAGCGATTCAAATTAGAGAAGCTATTTAGGGACAGAGCTGGAGACTGTGGAGCAGGCAGGCTTCAGCAGCAGAGACTTTCTAGAGCCTAGCAGCAATGCAGAGCTGTCCTCCTGTCAGCGCATTCGGAGGAGGACAGCTCTGCACATATTGCTTGCCCTCCCCGAGGAGCTGGGAATGATCTCCTGCTCCAGGCACGCAACGCACAGCCTGCTGTGCACGAGAGGGGGAGAAACCAAGACAAACTGTTGGCGTTCTGCCTGCTCTGCTTACTCTCTCCGCCCACAGCTGAGAACATTTCAGAAACTTGACGACTAGTTTCTCCCTCTCTCTCATAATTTTGCCTAGAAATTAAAGACACTTTAGAAATGGATCTCTGCATCCATCTAGCTCCTTCTCCGGTAAGTATTACCTCTTCAGATAATCTGCTAGTTCACATTCTCCACTACTGAGACTGCATTTTCATACCTACAATCTCCAAATGTTCTCATCTATTTTTGTAAGCTGGCACACTTGTTTCCTAGGTTATTGCTCTCTCTGTCTCCCCTTCTCTCTTCCTTTCTGTGAAATAGTTTGCAAAACTATTTTGATTAAGTTGAACAGTGTATGTTGAGAAAATGGTTCTAGGATAATTTAAGAAGAATTTGTAAAGAACAATTGTCAAAACATGCAACACTATAAACAGCTACTTTTCATTTTTATTGCAGAATAAAACATCTTAAGTGGAAAAAAATGCAAGTTCAACTTGATATGCTTTAAAATAATGGCCAGAATTGATGCCTCCACCTGCATTTTATTTCTGTGTTAAAGTGATACTGTGAGAAATAACTGTTCTGGTACACCCTGGTGTTAATCTTTACCTGAATACTTACAGCACGCTGCCCTGCAAACACTGCAGATACTCCGGTAAATTTAAAATGGCCCATGCTCCATGATCAAAGCAAGTAGCTTAACACAAGTATCTACACAGGCCTATTAGATACTCAGTTTAGTAGGTGCTAAATAACTTCCTAGTATCGCTACTCAGTGTCGCAATAAATTAGCTGATCCTTTCATCAACCCACCAGATAAATACATGCCCACATCCCACATAAACTGGCCCTTCCACCAGCATCACCTGTGTCCTCACATAGCAGGCCCATGTCCCTGCTGATATTTGCTGAGCTTCACATGGCATTTATACTCCATAGAATTATATTTTAAGAAACTAATGGAATCCTATCTAGGAATTGGTTAGTGGCTTTGGTCTCCCCTATAAATTAAGTGATTAGAAATTATTTACAATAAAACAAAATAAATAGACACTTTCTTTTTCCCTAAAGCTTCCTATATGTAACTGGTCCTTTTAATTAGCTGCTTTACATCAGAATATGTTTGGTTCATAGGCACCATCTGTTGCATGGCCTCATCTACCCCTTGCACAAAGCAGAGTTAGCAAGTTATCCTCTCCATAACACCCACTGGAGTTACTTCATTGCCAGAGAGAAGCGGGTTTTCACAGTGCAGAAATTGCATTTCACTGTATGTGTTTTGCTGTGGAAGATAAATCTGACAAGCTGGAATACTGAGAGACAGCTTCAGTCAAGCTAAGTGTTTAACACAGGTTGATCTATCCCACGTAATGTTCACCATCTATTTAAATGCTGCTCATGACAGGCAGTTTTATGAACCCGAAACAAATGATGTGGTTTTTCTTTAAGCCTCTTTCTGACAAGTTGGAGAATGTCTATTGCCATTTACTGAAGGCTAGGAAAATCCTTTTAAGAATACTGTTTGTGGTGGTTAAATAGGCAAGGTTGTTCCCACTAATTAGTGGCAAAGGCGTTCTTAAAGTTCAGCAAATTCAGTTATGACTTGGCCTGTGGAATCCTGACTCTTGTGAGAAGTCGCAGGGTATTCAACACTCAGCTTAAGAAACTCGCTGGGAGCTACTTCAACATCTTAATGCTTATCTCAAGTCCAGCAGCAAAATTCAGTGGCTTCTTTGCAGATATTGGGCAAGTGACTTTCATAACGTTCTAGCTTAAATCGGGAGGCAAATACAAGTTCAGACCACACGCCAGTTACACGTCCCTGTGTGTGCTCAGTTCTGCTCAGAGGAGTATGAGCTTCTGTCTCAGCAGCCACAAAAACACCCAGGACCAGCAGTTTAAATAGAGACACCTGTCAGCTCGGGCCCTGCGGCCAGATTTGCAAAGATGTTTAGCAGCTTAAAGATGCTGATGGAGTTAATGGGAATTAGGCACCTAACCTCCTTAGATGCTGCTATAAATGCTGCTAGGCATGTTTAGGTACCTAAATACCTTAGCGAATCTTTCCCCCTACTGCTTGCAATGATGCTGCACCAAAAATCAAGTACTAATGAATAAAGCCTAACCTTTGTCCTCTGTAACTGGTTTGGGCTTTCCCTAGGGATTGCTTTCATGTAATACAAAAAAATACCAGCCATTTCACAGGTTGTGCCATCCAGATTCTTTTCATATTTTCAGCAGCTTGATTATTTGCTGCTCATTCTAGACTGCCCCCGTCATCCCCACCCCGGACAGTGGCTGATGTTACTATGGATTTAATAAGTTGCTTTTTTGTAACATTCTTTTGAAACAACTTATTGCAGGATAATATTACTGAATTTTCTTCCTGCAAAGATGTAATCAGACAGAATTTTGCATCATTCATCTTTAATTCACTTGGCTGAAAAAAAAAAGAATGGGGCAAAATTTGTTAAAATCAGAATTGCTGAATATTAGGATGCGAAGCTGCAGTGTAATAGCCAGTGTTGATTTTGTCCCCATGATACTGTGTCTAAGCCAAACCCAAAACAGTTAAGGCTCCTGATTAAAAAAGAATATATGAAAAAATACTTTTCTTCCTCTTGCTCCCAGTTAATGCCTACTTGTGCACATTTCGAGCAGTTAAATTCTATTCCAAAGTATAGACCTTAAGCCATAATTACATATATAATCTTACCTATAAATGTCTCTATTAAAAAATTCCAGGATTAGCTGGGCTTAAGTATATATAGGGTTGGATACAGTTTAAAGATGTGTTCCTGAATTGTCTGTACGTCACGTACGTTCAGCTATTCTCAGCACAAGGAAAAGGCCGGTGAGCTGCGTGGCGGGTGGAGTGACACTCAAGCTTATGGACTCGCACTCTGGTCCTACGGCCGACTTGCTGTAGAAGCTGTGACCAGCTGCTTGCTGTGTTCCACAGCTGGCTTTTTGTCACAAAAAGGACCTTACGTAAATTAATCCTAACAGAAAAAGAAAGACATTTAAGTCCTGAAGACTCTTGTCTTATTTGAAGACAAGAGTGTAACCTCTTCTCCAAAAAATCCATTGCCTGTGTTCTCATAGGAATAGGGTATTATGATACTGGACTGCAATTGTATGATACTTTACTATTCACTGGGGGATGCAAATTGGGTTCGCTGACAGATGATTGTCTCAAAAGGAGCAACGTTCACTGGTCTTAGCAAGGAAGAATCCAGTTTCTCTAGAAAGGAATTGAAGACTGATCTTACTAGGGAAACACATAGCTTGACAGGCCGGGAAATACTGTTGTCTCTGAAGCATCATGTCAGAGATGTGAAGAAAACTTTCTTGTATCATTCATTCATTTTTCTACCCAGAGTTTGCAAGGTTAGAGTGCTTCAGGAGCTGGTGGTCTCTAACTCTTGCAAACCTACGGAGCATTTATCCATTCTGTCACACAAGGATCACCACCGTTGGAGCCAGGAAGAGGCTTTTCACAGGTAAGTTGTGACACTTGGGATGTCTCTGACGTAGGACATCTGTTTGGGCCAGACTACGTACTCCAAAACAGAAGTGAACATATCACTTTTAGATTATCTTGAGGGTAAGGGAAGTAAGCTAAAATAAAAATAGTAGCCTGAAATCATTCTGGGAATATAATTTGTGTGCTAGGTTGTTTGGGTAGAAGCTATGCAAAATCAGGAGTTTTTTTTCTCTGACTTTGAACAAGTCAGGATTTTGCCCTGATCACCAGGAGCCACAAACACTTCAGAAACAAGAATGTCTTAATCTAAGTATGCTGCTCTTCAGCTATTAAGCAGTGGTATTTCCCCGTGTCCCAATTATTATAATCATTAAAAACAACTCTTGTATGTGGAGAGAACTCATTAAAACATACCTGAATCTAATGGAAAAAGAAATTATGTTTGTGGCCTAAAATAAAAATTCAACAATAAGAGGACTGATAGGGGAAAGAGGCGGGATCTTGGGAAAGGCACAGTGTTGAAATTCCTTCTAAACTTTCATTTTCACTCCAGAAGCTGGTAACACCTTGCAGTTCCTCTCTGTCCCCTAAAGTCTGAGAAAACCAAGAGCACTGAACTCTCCAGGGATAGTTAAGTTTTCAGTCCCCAAGCAGCAGGCTGTACTGCAGTTATTAATCTCCAGTCTGTGCCACTCGGGACCCTAATGCCAGGTACTGTAATTAGTCAGCAGGGGAGTTAACGTTCCAAGTCAAAGACAACTGTGTATAATTGATGTCGTGGCATGAACAGGGGCAACAAGCCCATTAAGAAAGCTGCCTGTTGTGCTCAAAACAAGTTATTCCCTCAAATTAAATACCAAAAAAAAAAAAAAAAGTAAATAGTAAAGATACAGGGGAATACAAAATAGGACACCAGCTGGGTTAAAGTCTGATTTTCTTGTTATTTGGATGCATTAGAAGATGCAGCCAAAATGAAGCATTTTGTCTTTAGAAGGAAAACATGTAAATGTAATTAATCTCATGTTGTTCGTTTCTCAGCTAATCTTTGGGAACACCATCTCCCAGCTATGTTCTCCAGTGCAGGTGCTTAACTCATGCTGATTTTAGATGCTAAAGCAGCACAATAATTGGGACCAGGTTGTTCCAATGACTATTTATGGGCATGGAAGCAAGATGGGGGAGTCCACACGCGTTATGTCACACGTCTGCACCAGATCGGAGCTTAGCTGAATTTCACAAATGCAACTTCTGTGTCTCTGCATCACAAAAGCAAGATAAACGTAGAGCAGTTTTGAACCATTCCCAACCTGAAAGTGTTCTTCAAGATAAAAATAGCTGAGTTTATTTCATTTTTCACCTGCCCCAACCTAAGAGAAACATGAAAGCTCCAAACTGAAATTAGTGCTTTAAAACAACAAGAAGAAAAGTAAAGCCTAACCAGTAGGTGTAAATTCCTGGCACAGAGATTCAAATCAGCTGGATCTACTTGAGGGCAGAGGGGAATGGGCTGCCCTGCCTCCCATTGG